AGATCCTTCGATCAAAAAGCATGTGAGCTGGCTGTTCCATACTCCGAACTCGAGCCCCTTGGTTTTTTTCTATTACGGCATCTTAGGTCCGAGGTGTATGCATGGATCCCCCTCCCCCCCCCCCCCCCACACACACAGTGGAGGAGCTCAATGAATCCATCAGGGCAGAAGTTGGTGGTGCCGAACATGTGCCCGGCAGCGCTGATAGTGCAGTGCTGCGCTGTTAGTGGTGTCATTCGTTTTGATAGCGTAGTCAGTGTATGATCGATGGCGAGTTTGGTCGGTGCGCACCATCGCCAATAGTGCATCTGAGCTCGTAGATAACGTTAGACATTTTTAGCGGGGAGATATTCCTGGACGGGATTGTTGTCTGTAATGAGGTCCGATATTCTGGAACTTTTGTAGCCAATTGTGAACTGGAATGACGCCGCCACGGATTAGTTGAGAAGCAGCTTCTTGATACTGCCTAGCGATTAGCCCACGCTCCAGACTCGTGCGGAGCTGATATTTCACTCTGGCAATAAAGCTTATGGTCAGTGCCTAGTACATCTTCATCGCCTTGTTTTTCGCGCGAGCAGAAGTGTGGAAGTGCTGGAAGCTCTGTATAACAGGGATAGAGATCTAACAGTCAACCGGCAAGTGCATATGTCGGGCACGCTGTGGTTGCAGGGTGGGTAGCCTCTGGCACCTCGACACAGGCATGAATGTAGACGATAAACCCGGTACTGACTTTATCCGGTGTTTGCCTTTAAGCGAAGTGGCCATCAGTATTTTGAGTGATAACATACATGCCATGAAAGTAAACGGTCCATTTTGAAGAACAGAAATTTAGGAAAGTCATTTTTAACTGACGTGACCATAATGGTTCTGTATATACCTGCTATCAAGAACTGTGCCTATATTATCCGACATTACTGGCAGGACCAATGAAACACTGGACACTCACGTTGCCATCCTGCTCAACATTTTTCCGGACAATAGGGAAGTATTTTATTCGGAAACACTATTCTTATTCAAGAACGAAGTCAATGTCAGGTATGCTGACACTTTTAATGAATATATATATATATATATATATATATATATATATATATATATATATATATATCCAAAAACACGCGATCGAAAGTATCGGTTCTTTCAGCAACTACCCGTAGCACACCGTGCGCATCCACGATTAAGTAGTCTAGTTAGTAGAGGATTATCAAGTGACTAAGTCCGAATGCCTCCTAATCATGTCATAAGTTTATCCGGAAAGCGTTGCTGGTTATTATCCTAACTTATGATGTCGATTGTTTGAATCATCTGTCTTCGGAAAAGAAGAGGAAATCGACGTTCAGCTCAAAGATATTACGTACGTATGGTTGTTTTTCTTTCTACATGTATACCGCACGAGTTCTGCTTGTATTCCACATGTGTTCTATATGTGTTTAATGACAAAAGTAAGGATAACAAGAGGCATGGATGTCATGGCAAAACCTCAGCTTTGTGGCAGCTTTGTGGCACGGGAAACTGTTTAGTTAATCTTTTATTTTTCAGACAATGCTTTTCTCTCTTTTAACTCTATTTCTTTTCAAGCAAACTTTAATCATAATAAATTATCATTGCCTTTAGTGGGACGCCCTTACTTAGTAGCTTCCAAAAGAGCCCTGTGAGGATTAACAGCCTTCTGTCTTCTGCAGTCTGCAGTCTTCGCCTGAAGCATGAATTAAATACATTTGCAAATAATAAAACACCGTTTAGCCATGGTGGCACTGCACTGCGTGTTTCAGCACTGTTGCTTACCAACTGGAACGCAAGTGGCATGAAAACTCGCGGAATGTAGTTTTGATTGTTGTCAAGTGTGAATTTGCATACATTCATGTGAAAAACGTGTGCATATTAGCATTTTATGCGTGCGCATTTGTATAGTTTGGGTGACGTCGTCCACGCGAGCCGTGGTAGTTTGGGTTTACATGAAAATATATTTCCAAGTGCTCACACATTGGTGAGAGTCCTCAAAGCGTCATATCAAAACCAATGATTGCATGCTCTATATTTCCAGGAACTGTAAGTATATCGGCAGCCGGAGGGCTACACCGGGGTACTAAAATTGCCGGCGATCAGGAAACCGGCGATACACCGGCGATTAGGAAACCCTCTTCATATATCTTACAAGTCAACCCAAAAATCAAGGCGTAGTCACTAAATCCCACCGCTTAAAAAACTTAGTTAAAACTTCAAACCATCGCTTAACCACAAATTCTGCGGCGTCCTCCACGCACGGGATGTGTGAAGACTCGTGGCACGAACACGCTGAACAAGCCGTCTCAGTCCGCGTCATCATATCTTTTGGAAGACGCGCGCTATCAAACCCTGGCGAGGGTTGCCGTTATGCCACCATATCTGCAGATAGATCGGCCGCGCCACCAAGCGCCCAGCAACTCGCTGCTCTTGTCTGAGGCCTTCGTGGATCCGGACCATGGCGGAACCCGGGAGACACACAGCTCGCCTGATATGAGCCACGATAGTGGCAGCCCGGGAAACCAACGAGTGAGGCGCTCTGGTAAGTGGTCTTTGGGGGGTATGGGCTGACTGGTGCTGTTGTCTTTATCTTACCCCGTTTATTTGTGCCTGGCAGGTGGGTGCACAGATTGTAAATGGAAGACCAAATACGGAGAAGCAGGCGTGCTGCGCCGGAGCCGTCAGCCGCTGCTCGGCCCCGCCAGCCGGGGACGGCCCCGTGACCGGCTGGCGGGCGCGATAATGGCCGCTCGCGCGCATATTGACTGTCGAGTGGCCAGCAGGCACTGACAGTGACGCTGGCCGGGCCTCGTGTGTGCCGGGCGATCCAGCGGGCAGCGGTGGGAGTGCGCAGCGGTGTCGACCACGCGGAGAACCTTCGTGTTTTAAACACGATGATTGTGGTATTTTCACTGAGCACCTTTGGTTGCCTGCACCCGCCCGTAAGACAAGGGCGAGCGAAGTGACAAGTCTTCCTCTGGCGTCATTGCACTTTCTTTTTTGTTTGCCAGGAGGCCAGGATTGAGACAGGGCCATAGCCTCTTCTGAAAGCGGCCTCATGTCCATGTCGATATCACGAGCGATATGAAAGATGGAGACAGAGATTGGTAGGGATAATGCCAAACGCGGCAGCAGGAGCTGCATAACATCTCCCAGAAGATATTGTAAACGTGCAGAAGGAGACGGCTAGAGAGCAAATGAGCAGAAACGGGGATACAAGGGGCAGAGATAGGAGGAAATAATTTTGTCAGGCAAAAGAGAACTAGATCGACAAGGGAGAGAAAGAAAAGGAGAGGAAGTAAGAAAAAGAAAAAGAGGGCGAGAAAGAGAGAGAGAGAGAGAGAGAGAGAGAGAGAGAGAGAGAGAGAGAGAGAGAGAGAGAGAGAGATAGAGAAGAGAGAGAGAGAGAGAGAGAGAGAGAGGAGAGAGAGAGAGAGAGAGAGAGAGAGAGAGAGAGAGAGAGAGAGATAGAGAGAGAGAGAGAGAGAGAGAGAGAGAGAGAGAGAGAGAGAGAGAGAGAGAGAGAGAGGTGTCGGAAAATAATGGAAAGTTAACACCAAAACGCACACTCATTACACGGCTAAGCAGATAAATAAGCTGTGGCGGGAGAGCCGCTTGTTGACGGAGGCCGGAAAGTGACGTCACCGGCTACAGCTGATGCACTGTCAGGTGTGATCACATGTGTCGTCTCGTCGCTGACCGTGGAGGGTGGCACGCTACAATCCTTCAAACGTGCCTGCGGGCACACGGACGCAGCGCAGCGATCCATCGACGCCTATAGAATGATTTGGCGGGGTCTTTCACGTTTAGCAAACCGCAAAGATGGTCTACAGACGTACGAGGAGCTGGGTGAAGCCCCGTTTGCTCTGCACCGTGCTGACAACCTCATCAGCTGAGGCAGACTGCGGGGCAGTAGTTTTCAGAGACAGAGTGTGGCCGGGGTCACGACAGGGTCGGCCGCTGCTGACCATCGAGGCGGGGGCCGGACCGGAAATGACGCTGCAGGCCCAGCCCGGTCACGGGTCGTTAGCGCCATCGAGTAAGCACTGCACGTGGCTTCAATGATCCACACAGACTGAGCGGCCGCTGAAGCTCGAACCGGGCGCTCCCGAGCTTCGATTTCCAGGCTGGGAGGAGGCCTTGCCTGCTGCCGCGGGCCCACAGTATGGCCCACCCGATCGCGCGGGGCGCGGCGGCCGAGTCCTGCGCCAAGCACCGCCGGCGCAAAGCTGTGGCGCGTTTCACAGTCGCTCACTGGACGGGGATTTGAGAGCATGATTGGCGGAACTCGTCCGGCGGCAGTAAAGATGGAAGCCACTGGTTCTAACATGGTCATGGGCCGTTTGGGGCTTATGCGGTTCCGTTATTAAGGTCATGAATCTCAAGGACCACTCAATATGCTTCCTCGACAGATATTTGTGGAAGACGGGAACGAATGCAATATTGGCTGTTGGCGTCAGTAGGAACACTGTTCTCCCAACAATGTAGATCGGCAGGACTGGGTATTCAACTAATGACGAGCATTTCAGCCTGTTCGTAAGATACAAAGATGCCTGCATGACGCCACTTTCAGTCAACTGTGCACCAATGCATTGACCGCTTACGCTAAGACTGAGACCGCCAACACAATTACTAAGGCTATAAGGTTAGCCAATAACACCACAGGACGGCGCTGCTGGAGTTATGTTTTAATATCGGTGCGCATTGGGAGCAGACCGACTTGAAGCGTGATTTAAACCGAACCCGACGCAGCGATTAAAAGCGAATCGGCACGTTGGGACGAGATGGTGGCGGCATCACGACGACGCCCAGAAATCCGGGCCGGTCCCACAACCTTACACAGTCTTGACGTAAGGCAGACGCCTTCCGAGTCACGGGTAACGCCCCGGTCACGCCCCGGTCATGCCCCAGTCATGCCTCGATCATGCCCCGCTCACGCTGGGGGGACGGCCGAGGCGCGGCCTCAGGCTCGGACCACTTCTCCGCCGGCGACTCACCCGTCTGGCCCTTGCCCAGCGTCTTCTCCAGCCGGTAGGGGCCCACGTACTGGAAGAACTCGGAGGCGTGGCTGTCCCGACTGCGGATGCGTTCGGCCCGCGGCTCCGACATGGCTCACCGTATCACCGTCTCACCGTCTCACCGCCTCACCAGGCGCCGGGCCGCGGCGCTGAACACACGGCACGCCCCGGCTCCAGCAGCACCATCGATTCCACGCGCCAGCACCTGGGCCGCGCCAGCCGCACTTCGATCCCGGCCGCGCTCCAGGCCGCCGTCGTCGCGTCGGCGCCGACGATCGATGGTCGGTGCGCATGCGCGTGGGCACCGGCGGTGACCACCGCCGGCCGCGCCGGGTGGCTCCGACGCCGCCCGACCCAGCCCCGTCGGTCATCGGAGGGGGGGGGGGGGGGCATGCGCGTTCAGAGAGGCTCGGCGCAGTCGCCGGCTCGTTTCAGTCGGTCCCATTCAGTCAGCCGTAAATCAGTGGTGACTGTGGCTGGGAATGTCACCAGTGGTGCCGATCTGCGGCCAGTCCCCAGTGGCGCTCGTCTGGGACACACAGGCGATGTCAGTTTAGGTCCGGTCCGTTCAATCTTGCCCTCAGAGGCCCAATACCGGCCCACGTGCTGGGTCTCCTGGGGTCTTCATCGCGTATAACCAAACTATATCAACGTACTTCGGGTCGAGGACAGAAAAGGGGTCATCCTATTTTACTGCGATGTTGAGCGAAGTATATATTCCCAGAGACTTTGGCACCTTGGCGGAGGCAAATTGATAAATATCAGTAAGGCACCTCGCGTGACGTGGACGAGCGAAATGGGACGTGACGTGACGTGTAACTTCACAGTTATCAATCATCGTCAGTCAGACGATGCCAAAACCACATATCGTTGAGCCAGATACGTTGATGCGAGCCCATGCCAAATTGCTTGGCCAGTACGCTGGAAATTCCATGTTTCATGACAGTTTAGCAGGCAGGACATATGCTGTTGTTGCCTTCGTTCGTTGCTTTCGCATTTCACCCTTCAGAAATGTCTACGAATGGCCCTGACCTGACGTGGCAATTGCACACCACGCAACAAAAAAATTGTAATGACTTGCAGTCTTGACGACTCTCAGGGCGCTGCGAAGAAATAAGGGTAAGGGCGAATACTGGTCACAACCAGTTGGACCTCGCGCCTGTGAAAATTTCCGCGGCGGAACTCTCGTCTGAGGGTTACAGTGAGCTGAACGGAGACCGATTTTTTGAAAAAGTGGCATTGGCCGTTTCTCGTTCGGCTTCCGGTGCGCCAAAGGTCGATTAGCCCTAATATCCCGTACTCATTTTCTAACGTAAACTTGCCCAAAGTATACACTTAGTTGTGCATCTTTATGCGTCCTGATTGTTGGGATCTGACGCTAGTCCCCAAAACGGGCGTGGCCATGGTGTACGCTCGAGGCACACCTAAGTGCTTGACACGACTACTTCTATACGTTGACACTATCTCGAACACTACTGCGCCTTCTCTCCTTTGTTAAGATTCGTTAGTCTCGCGCCTTTTGCACGCCTTGTCGTCTAGGTTAGGATCAGCTTCGGTCCGTCTTTCGAAATAACGGAAACATTTCTATATAAATATGCTAATAAAATGAGGAAAGCTACATCCTCCCCAAATTGTGGTGTTCCTCGAAAGTAACACGCGTAGCAGCATATGCTGCACGGCTTTCAAATGATTGCCTTTCTTGGCACTGCAGACAACACGAAGCTACGGTCACTGGCTGCAAAAATATAACTTGTTAAGCTTGACATTTGAGCAGCTTTAGCGTAACTTTACCAAGACGCTCGAGCTTGATTTTTTCCGTTATGGCTGCTGATACTGAACCTGCCAAAAGCATCGTTCTCGGTGAATCTGAAATGCGTTGGCTCGTGTGATATCCCACCCCGAAGCGTATTACTCTTTTCACTTTCATCCTCATCCCACTGTTCAAGTCAGACCAGCTGAGCTTGCGAACATGCCCGTAGTAGCGGAATCGTGTCGCCTTAACGACATTATACCTAGCGCTACCAACACACCCTACACCTTACATCAACTGTAGTCAATGGACACCATTGCCCCATTTTATGAATTTCAGCATTAATTTGCTTGTTTGTTAGTCGTTTTTGCCTTAACGATGCAGCGTGCGGTTACGCCATTGATGTCTCATGCTTTAAGCGCACTGACTTCAACTCTACAACATCACATGATATTTGCAACGTACAACAAGCCCTGACCATATATCGGATGCAAATGTCGCACAAGCTTCACCGCTTTCGGGTGATGCCGTGCGCGTACGATCACTCGAGGGCGACAGCGGTTACGTGGTCGCCTTCACAGTTCACATAATGCACTGCCGTGTTGTCCGATTTCCGAGTCCAGACACAAATGATGCCTTTCATATTGCTTCACTAAGAAGGATTACTTGTTAGACGGGCTCTGAGTTGGCGGACGTCACAGCAAAAACAGAGGATCTCTCTGTTCGAATAAATTTCATCAGCAGAGCTATATGGACATGATCTGTCAGAGCTTGAGTGGGACGAGGTGGATTACCGGGTTTAGATCAGGGAAAACCTGCGGCAAAAAGGATCTCAACTTTGTAACCTCATTCATTTCATCGGTGACGGTGGTGTTCTCTGAATGAAGAACAGGCCTTTGTACTCAAAGCTGTCTCTTAGAGGCAAGTTTTTTGTAATCTTGCAATTGTCAGTGCTAGAGTCATCATCGACTATGTCAATAATTCTAGTTTGGGCTCCCGCCTGATCCCAAACCTCTCTCGCTTTGGCCTCGGGTCTCTTCTGCACTTCTCCAGCCTTGACGGCTTGCACCTCTTGGCTTACTCTGCATGCAAATTGAGTACCCCAGCTCTCATTAGTACTTGAGTTACGTGTGACGTCGCTGAACCACTCGCCATAAGCCTAGCCGTCGACACCTCGCCATAAGTCTAGCAGTCGGCACGCCCTCCACGGGCCTGCTCATCATTAGGTATTCTAGTTACGGTACTTAGTTGCATTCCCTATGTCTTTGTTAGATCCCGCTAAAAGCACAAAGCTGCGGAAGAAACGAAATCATTACATACAGACTAACTGAAAATGGCGATATCTTTGAGATGGTGATGCGGCCCTAGTTCGCGTTTGAGCGCCCAACAATGTAAGGGGGAGAGTGCGGAGAATTGTATCAGACTGTACACTAAGCTCCCTCCTGCTACAATTACTGAGAATATGACTGGAATTTTCACGCACACGCGCACGCACATGCACATACACACACACACACACACACACACACACACACACACACACACACACACACACACACACACACACGCCCACATCAATGTATATCCATACATATATATATATATATATATATATATATATATATATATATATATATATATATATATATATATATATATATATATATATATATATATACAAACAGCTAAAATTTTGAGCTTCGTAGCGGGAAAGTTTTACAGAGGACGTTTTCGTTTAGTGGTAAATGACCTCTGAACAAGCTCATTTCAAATGAGACATCCCGCCCCACCCCGGGGCTAATTGTACCAAATGGTGGAAAAGCTGTGCTTATATCTTTTCAAAGAGTAAGCTGCATCGCAAACAAGCTGAATGCATTGCGACATGTAGACTAAATACGCCCATCTGTGCTATTTGGTAATTCGTCGTGATTGCAACATCACAAATGTTTGTCCCTTTAATTCGTCGGTGTTTGTACACTAGGGCTGCACGTGTCTATACACAGAGCTGCAGCCCAGTATAGAGAGCGTAAGATGGGCAAGGGGGCCAGTCCCTGCCGCATAACATTTGCACACTGTTCTAATAGATGTATTATGCAACATCCGTGGAGAGGGGACGATAAATGTATAATGTGTCCCGCCAGGAAGCACCTACACCAACAGGGGATTTGAGCTTGAACGGCTGAACGACTTTGGTGACTGGAGCAGTCACCAGGCTGGCGGGCGTAAATGTTTAGAAGCAGCTTATGACTCAACTTGCCTATATAGCAAAGCGCCAACTGTGCATGTGCATGCGCATGTGCACATGGGGTCACGTAGCCTTGTGGGGCTCCACTAGAGTTTGGGGTCCCTCCAAAAATGGATCATCGCGACACGGCCAGTAAAATGCTGTTTCTAAACGAGAACCCATCGTAGTGTGCACACCTCTAGAAAACTCGGTGTGCTACCAACGCACATACATGAAGCCCATGCATTTTCTCCAGATCATGGTAATGCTATCATTCTGAGGCTAAGATTTGTTGTGACAAAGATGACAAAATAAGCTGAAGCTGATCTAGAGAACTAGGTGTGCCACGCACGCACATACATGAAGCCTATAAATTGTCTCCGGATCACGGCGAATCTTATCATTTTGAGGCTAAGACTTTTTGGACAAAGATGGCAAAATTTACTGAAGTTGGCTATTAAATACCATCAAAACCAAGCACGCCTTGACTACTAGGTTATCTACGGCTAGCCAGCTGGTTAGTGTGATCAGCCGGTGGCTGGTGACTATTGCAGAGTTTTTGCTTTATTTTTGTATTATCTTCGACAATTGCGCATGCAAATTCATCGGCGCATATCCCATTGCCGCTCTAAGGCTAAGGCACCAAGACCAGCCTAGTGGGCCCCTGAACTACTGAACTATCGGGAGTGCCCCGGCAGGCCGACACATGGCACCGCGGCCAGAACACAGGGCCCTCTGAGCAAAGGGAAACTACTCAAGACCAGTGTAAATGAAAGGATGCCCCTGCGCGATCAAGAGTGCCCCGGTAGGTTGAGAGAGAGGGCCTCGATAAGGATGAAGGGGCCTCTGCAGACGAGATCGAAGAGGAAAAACCCTATATCAACGTAGAGGGCCCCTGAGCATGGAATGGCTCGGTGCGTTACCTTATATGAGCCCCAGTAAGAGCACAAGGCTCTCCGAGTAGCTGGAAGGAACTAGATACCAATATAAAGGGTCCCTGAGCAACTGAGTGTATCCCGGCATATGGGCCCCGGCAAAAGTGTAAAGAGCCTTTCGGGAGAACGGAAAAAATCCGTAGGGGCCCCTGAACCACTTTTGCTTGCAACTGTTCCTAATCGTCTGGACGCTCAAAGACGACGAACTTTGTTGTGCTTTGTTGCAGAAAACTGCGTCTGTTCGGCCTGTTATGGGCCCCTTCGGAGCATATGGGTCTCCTCGGGGCACAAGGGG